CCGCGCGAGGGCTGAGCTCTCGGGCTTTGCAGCCCTGGTTCTGCTGAGCACGTGCAGAGCGCTCTGAGGTTTCTTCTCTCTGTTTTTGCCATCCCGAGCACAGCGTTCCCTGTGTAGGTGCAAATGCTTCATACAAAATAAAGCCCCACTTAATTATTTCCCTGGTATTTCTGAGCAGCATGGGAACCATGAGTGAATTTTCAGCCAGGGCTGGGTTCCTGCCCTGCTCAGGGTTACCTGGGAGCTCAAGTGCTGCTCCCTTTGGTTTTCTGCTGCCCGTGCTCAAGAGCTGTGTCCCGGCTGATTCAGACAGAACAGGAGACCACGACAGCACAGCACAATTAATTCCTCGCCTGCCTGCGGCTCAGGCAACAATTTTTGGTGGTTCCCATCCTGTAACTTATCTTCATGGAAATGATTCAGATAATCCACCTCCAATTATCGGATGAAGCCGTTTTATAGCCGCCCTGGTCAGGTGGAGGGTCTGAAGTCATCGGGGCGAGATGGCATTGCCAAAGCTTCCGCCGTGGCTCAGCCGTGAAGTCACGGGGCTGTTAACCGCAACGTGCAACCTCAGGCTTAAAGCAGCCATGGGAATCGGGAGAACCGGTGTCGCCAACGTGGCTCCAATTTTTAAGAGCTCCAGGAAGACGCTGACCTTCGTAGGGCAGCTCCTAACCACGGGGAGATGGAGTGGGGCACTGTAGAGGTTGAGGAGGGAAATCAAGCCTCGTAGACCCAGCAAAGCTCATGTAGATAAAAGTCAAAATGAGGTGCTTGGACCTCCAAACAGCAGTGAGCTGCAGGAGGATTTGCTGGACTGAACCAGGACAACGGAGAAGCTGTAGAGCTGGAAACCTCACAGGGAAGGGCGAGAGCTCCTCCACCACGTCTGGTGTCCCAGCAGCGGGAGCATTTGCATGAGAAAAGCCTCTAAAGTCTCCCTTGTGCTGACACCCTGGGTGCGGGCAGGAGCAGAGCCCTGTGACAAGTTCAGACCTGTGTTCTGTGTTGCAGGAAACAGCGGCTTGGGGAAATACCATGGCAAGTTCACCTTCGACACCTTCAGCCACCACCGCGGCTGCCTGCACCGCACCATGGGGCTGGAGGCCCTCAACGCCCCCCGCTACCCACCCTACAGCCAGCAGAAGCTGGGGCTGCTCTCGGCCGCCTTCGAGATCAAGCGCAAGGGCATGTGCACCCTGCTCTGAGCGCGGCCCCGTGCCGCTCACGGACTGGGGACAGGGACTTTCCACCAAAACCATCCTCCCCAGGAGGCTGGGACCCACCTCTGCCCTGTGCCTGATGCACTTTGGGATGGACATCTCCTCCTGCACACTCGCTCCTCCCCAGCTGCCTCTGGTCCAGACTGTTTGCCAGGACACATCTGAAAGAGCAAAAATTCTTTTTCTCACCCCATACCTCCCTTCCCAGCAGAGGAACGGTCCCTGCGAGGCTGAGGACCGTCCGTCAGCCCTATCTCCCATCAGACCTTTCCTTCTGGATGAGCCTCACTCTCCTTCCTCTCCATGCCGGCTCTTGCTTTTTCCTCCGTGT